AGGTTCTGGACCTAGAACCTGAACCAAATCCCTAACAGTTCCTAAGAACTTGGTTCATAGAATACTTTAAATTTCACTTTAGTTGTTTTCACAAAATATAGCAGTTCAGTGACTCCTTGTACTAGCTCACCAAATTTTTATCATCTGGGAAGTTTTATAGTGTTATATAAAGGTTTTTGGCCATCTCATAATAAAAATTATGAAGAGTCGACATAACTTTTTAATATCATATCATGGGAAATATTTAAAAAGTAATACTCAAGGTTAGTATTTAGAAAGCATTGCTTTTTTACTGAAATACAGCAGTCCCCCATTATCTGCGGGGGTAGGTTCCAAGACCCCCAGTGGATGCCCGAAACCACGGACAGTACCAAAGCCTATTACACCCTGTTTTCCTGATACAAACATAACGATGACAACGTTTAATGCCTTTTCCATCTTAGCAAAGAGCTTACCACACACCGTGGTCACAACTCTTGCAGTCTGAGGTGCAGCTGCACAACTTGCGTGGGTTTGCTTATCCTTTCACAATGTAATGGATAGAGGAATCGGTCTTAACTGTGGGTCTTAGTAACTACAGCATGCAATTTCCCCCCATCCTTGTTCAGTTGAGAACTTTCACCTCTTCCCTTAGAAGGAGCACTTCATGACTTGTCTGTGGCGTGTCCGAATGGCCATCCTCACCACATTTGTGCTTTGGGGCTGTTAGGAAGTGAAATAAGGGCGACCAAACTCGAGCACCGAGAAGCCCAAACAGTCCACATGACAGCAGAGACAGCTACCCGGTGGCCAGTGGGTAGGCGGGTGGGCGGTGCATGCAGGACGGAGACACTGGGTGAAGAGAGGGTTCATGTCCTGGGCTGGATGCAGCGGGAGGGGAGGGGGGTGCAAGATTTAGCATGTGGGTTGTTTAGTTCTGGGATTCTCCATTGGATGGTTTTGGGTTGTAGTTGGCCACAGGTGACTGAAACCATGAAAAGCAAAACCATGGGCAAGGAGGATGCTGTAGTGCCATTAATAAGCTTTTCCGTCCATCTCTGTGTGATGTATTCACTCACTAACTGTTCAGTTTGTGCAGTTTCCTAAGAAATTGTTTATACAGAGACAGTAGTATGAAAAATATTTAAGCTTTTTTTTCTGGGTTGTATTTACATTCTTTTATTTTTTGGTATAAAGAGCAACTCTTTTCACGTATTCATTTCAGCATCTATAGACTATTATATCCTGTTCCTTCATTTAATAAAAAAAGAGCTACCTCATATCCACCATCGCCATCAGCTCTGTATGTCACAAGTATTTCCTGCGGTAGTTTTCTGAATTCAGGCAATGCTGAGTGGAACCAATACTTTTAGTGAAAGTGGGAGTAGGCAAAAAGTCAAATTTTGATTCACTGGCTCAGAAGCACTAGCACATCACTCCTCTCAGAATCGTAACAAATGAGGGGTTCGTGAACTAGAACTTTAAAACATCCCGCTTCTATTGTGGAGAGGGGCGGAAGGAGAGCAGAGGGGTGACAAGTTGATAATAATGAAGATAGGAAAAGAAAAAGCAGGTGAGAAGGGGAGGAATAAAAGGAGACGATGCAAGAGGAATGACAGGAAGGGGCCATATCAATTCACTCATTCATTTGCAGATATTTCTCTTGTGCCCCATGTGTGAGACTCTGGGGATTTTAAACAGAGAACCAAACTAGTCTTTTTGCTCTTCTGATGGGTAACATTGTCATCCCGCCCACTGGACTGGTGGGAGAGCGGGTGAAACAAAAGCTGGACTGGAACAGAGAGAAAGGAGGGACAGGCACGAGCAGGGACTCACAGAGACCAGATGCCTGAGGAGCGGAGAGATGGAAGATCAACTTCTACTCACTGCTCTCCCTGGCACCGCCACACCGCCCCACCTCCCCTCTTCCACACCTACACAGCACCTGGGTTTCGTTTCTAGCATCTTCTCTGATCCTGTTCTGGAGAATGACCCTCAGGGCTCACCGAGGACCACACCCACGCAACCATCCATCTGTAAGAAATAGACGTTTATTAGTCCTGTCCCTGCGCCCGACTGTGGTGGACACGGAAATACCGTGCTAACCGAAACAGTCTTCGCCTCCTGAGTGTTGCACAGTCTGGCTGTGTGCGGTGTCGCGTAAACGGGCAACAAGGATCCCGGGCGATAATAAATGCTGCCACAGAGAGGTAAAAGGCAGCGAAGTCTGGGGGCTGGGTGGAGTTTCCCGGAGGAAGAGAAAGCCACGTGGACATTTCCCTGGTCAGCGCTTCCTTTTTAAAACTTCCTTCAGAATAAGCTCATTTGGTAAAAACCTTTAATTTGCTTCACACTTCAAAAAATTTTTTTTTCAATTTTCATTTGACTTGAAAGTTAGCAATTGAGATCTCTTGGACCTGGTTTTTCATTGGTGGATTGCTTCAGGTAAATTCCTGATTATACTTTGAAAATATGTATTAAAATTTATATGCCCCCCCACTCATACCCATTTTAAAAGTTTAAAGTTACAAAAAGAAAACACAGGATTTTTTTGTTCTGCATTTTTACCATCCATTTAACACACAAATACATGTGGGCAGTGCACTGTTTCAACTTAATGTGAAACAGAACCCCTGAAAGCAGTTTAACTGGCGTGTGTCTAAAATATGTGTGTGTGCACCAATTTAGGTCCCGGTTTGAAGCTGCAGTTTTATCAGACTTCGGGGGAACAGTGCCAACTCCTGATGGGTTGCACTAGATTTCACAGGAGAGCTCTCTGGAGCGGGGGAAGTCTTGGAGGACTCCGGGCCTTTTTATACTTTAAGTTCTTTCACATAAACCTGATTTAGGGAAGTTCGTTGTTGCTGCTTTCCTCCTTACAGGGACTTTACAACAAGTCGCACCCATGTACACCATGGGCTCACCTCAGGTCTGCAGTGGCCTCTCCCAGTCTCCTCCAATGCGCTTTGCTCTGTTTTGTCCTGGGCTTCTGTCTCCAGCCCTCTCTGCCCCCCGGAGTCCAGTTGCCCTTTCTCGGGCTTGGCCTGGATGTCTAATGGGCCATTTCAAATTTCATGTAACTTGGAAACAAAACTGTAGGACCTCCTCCTAACTCCCTGCAACCAACCTGTTCTTTTTGGCCATTTCTTTTTAAAAATGTGTACCCAGGCTTAATAAAGAACCTCCTTTGGCAAAGGCCAGGAAGACACAGGGTGCCAGCGGTGTGTTTTCTGGCTCGGGGTTGCTGTCTGTGCCGTGGGCACCAGGAGTGGTGGCCAAGGACCCTGTCCAGCCTTGGTGTAGGACATCAGCTCCAGGTTTTGACCCGAGACCCGCCGTCCTGTGTCTTGTCCGGTTGTGTGGCCTGAACTCCGCTCTGGATCCGTCGAACTGGCAGCAGTGCTCAGAAGTGGCCCAGCCTCCTGCGGCGTCGCTGTCCTGCCTTGTGACACGGACCTGGGATTTTCCCTCCGCAGCCACAGACCAGGGTGCTGTTGCTTCTCTTTCTCTGAGAATTGCACAAAGCTCTTCTGTAAATGGCAACTGCAGTCTTCTTGCTCAGGCCTTAAACTTGAACCTTGACTCTTTCCATTCCCCTTAAGCAGCCCATCGGCAAGTCTGTTGGCTACCACCCACTTCACCCCACTTGGACTGCCACCAGGATCCAAGCCACCATCATCTCTTGCTGGACTGTTACCCTGGCCCCCTAACCATTCCCTCTGCCGCCACCCTTGTCTCCCTGTAGTCCATTCTCTGCACCATGGCCAGAGTGATCCTTTCACAATGGAAGTCAGATCCATTCTCCCCTTGGCTCAGAACCAACCCGGGGCTTTCTGCTTTTCAGCATAAAATCCAAACGTGGCCCTAAGCTCCCGTGTGACCCAGCGGCCTCTCTGGTCTCCTCTCCTGCCCCTCTTCTTACCTCCTCTGCTTGGGCCGCGCTCACCTTCCTGCTGTCACTCCTGCCCCAAGAACATCCCCCCCCCCCCCCAGGGCCTTTGCCCTTGCTCCTCCTCCTGCCATGGACTTCTGTCACCCAGACAAGCACATGTCCCTTTCAGGTCTCTGCTGAAATGTCACCTTCTCCTAAGAGCTTTCCTGAGCACTGTCCTCTGTCCCTTTACCTGTTTCTTCCTTAGCATTGATCCGCATGTGACATGTTTCTGTCACTGAGTTTTATCTGTCTCCCCCACTAGAACTTAAACTCCATTAAGGCAGGGTGTTTTTTTTTTGTTTGTTTCACTGCTCTGTCCCCAACACTGGCCTGAGGCATGGACATGTGGCCAGGACCTGCATTTTCTTGTTCCAAGTCCAGTGCTGTTTCCGTGAGTCTGTGTGGCCTTCCATGGGTTTTAAGTTCCTTAAGCGCAGTGAGAGCTAGCATCTTGTATTTCTTTTGCCGCCCTCCCCCTGCCCTCCAGGGCAGAGGACCTCGCCACATGCTCAGTGAGGGGTTCCCTGGGCCTCGTAACTGCCTCGGCTGGACTGGGTGACTTCCAGTGCTCGCTGTGGTCTCTCATCACTTGAGTGCAGACTCGGGGTGCACTTCCCCCTTTCCGGGACTTAAAGACAGGCTGCTGTTTGTTCCCTGTCCCATACACAGCAGCATTTGGAAACCGCAGGCAGCTCCAGCAAGAAAAGCTGGCATGGAAGGGTCCCCTTCTCAAACAATAGATGATCTGGGTTCTGAATTTTCAACATGTTGTGTAGCCACGTAACTTGATGTCAGAGGAACAGACCGAAATACGGAGGCCCGGTGCTATGTAAGGCTGATGCTTTTTACAGGGTGTTGGTATCGCTGTACTTAACCACCCGCGTTCACACAGAAAGTGCGTCCTGGGCATGTTCTTCTGTGAGTGAAAGAGCATCCAGGTTTGGCTTGATCTTATCTCTTCCAAAGCTGCTACTAATACGCCCCTAAAATTTGTTTTGAAAATGTTGTTCTCTTGCCAGCGAAGTGTCTCAGGTGACTCTGGTAATCCTGATCATCCCTCTTTGTTTTTGTTTTTTCTTTTTTACAGGTACTCTGCAATGCTTTCACCATCTGTGATGCGGAGATGCAGGGAGTTGGTGTTGGCCTGTATCCTAGGTATGTGGATGGTGTTTCGTTTACTGGAAGAAACAACTTTCATTCCCACCCAGCCCTCCAGCCTTTTGGAGGTGGTGAGAAAGTCTGTTGCAGCAGCTAGTTCAAGAGCCAGTCTTGGAAGCTGATTATAAACGACAAGGAAACAACTGTATTGCCCCACGTTGTCTGCTAGGGCAGTGATTTTCAACTGGTGCGCCTCAAGATTATGTTTAAAACACGCCATACCTGACTCTCGGGGCTCTGACCTCTTCTCCCTTAGACTGTCGTATAAAAAAATGACAACAGCCAACACAACAATAGCCATCTGGTATAAACAATCAAAATTATACCTATTTTTTCAGTCAGATCAGCAAAAAATATATTTTCTGGTGTGCTGCAGAATTTTCGCAATTAGCTCACGTGTGTCATGCAGTAAAAAAGTTGAAAATCGCCGTGCTGGGGTACTCACGCAGAGGCAGACTTCAGACCTAGATTCTTGTTCTCGGGAACTTTGGGTGAGAAGTTGGGGCTTGTGGGTGCTAAGACACTGCCACGATGAGACTTGGTCGCTGCTCTCCCCTCGGCCCTGATCTTACCCCAACCTCCCAGGCCGAAGCGCTCGGTCATCCCACCAGACCCACCGGGCCGCGACACTGCGGTCCGTTTTGTCTTGTGACTTAGCACCCTCGAGCCCTGTTGCTGCGGGAGGCCAGAACACCGCCTGTGGCTGCAGTGACCTTTGCCACCGAGCTACTGGACTGTCCTTCCGCAGGCTCTCCAGTCACTCCCAGCCGCATTTTGTTTTCACGTCGTTAGGGGCCAAATACAAATACAGTCTTTTTATAATCAACTGTGAGTCTGAGAATTCCTCCTCTTCTCTTATGCCTCAGAAATGCCCTAAACCACAGGCCCATCATTGCTGGTCCTCAAAAGGCAGTAACGTGGAATGTTCCAGCACTTCAGACCACCCGGTTCAAGTTCAGTCACCAGTACTGGTTGTGTGTCTGTGGGCACATCATTTAACTTCCATGTTACCAGTTTCTTCATCAGTAAATGGTCCTCATAAGATTGTCATGATGATTACATTTGATACACATGCCCAGCTGCTAAGAAGTGCCTTCCACACAGTAAATGCTCACTTCCAGCTGCTCTAATCATTGTCAAATATGGAGGCAGCTTAAATCCACCCCCTCTCCCAGATGGTGACAAATGCCCCTGGAGGTGATGCGATCACTGGGCCACGACCTGGAAGGCACCAGGATCTGGTCAGCAGACAGCCTTGGCTTTACGTTTAAGAGCAAGTTCTCCTAGTGGTTCTTCATCATAGCTGTGGGTGTCCCAGCAGAGGCGGGCGCCCCTCCAGAGGTGCCGGACAAATGAGGGGCCCCGTGGGCAAGGCCAGGGATGTGTTGCCTGCAGTGATGACCGCTGCGTCCCATGACCTCCCACAGATTCTCTCTTCTCAGGTCGGTTTCTTTCCTGTTGTCTTACCGGGCTGTCTTAGTTCCTGGTGTCTAATGGCACAACTACCTCCTCCCCACCGCACCCCTAAGAAGGAATCAAACATGTTTTTATTCACAGACCTCCCCAGTTAGCCTCCAGTTTGGGGAGTGTTTCAGATCCTGTGAGGCGGGCTTGTGACGCGTCTGTGGACGCCCCGAGGACTCGGTCTCCGGTGCACTGTGAGCCTTACCTGTCCCCTGCCCCCAGGCCGAAGTGTCTCTCCCCTGTTGTATTCATGAAACTGAGATGTTTGACTCTGTGCTGAGCCGTGACGGTCTCCCTCTTTATTTTTTTTTCTTTTTATTCCCTCCAGTATGTCTTTGCTCAATCACAGCTGTGACCCCAACTGTTCGGTTGTGTTCAACGGGCCCCACCTCTTACTGCGCGCCATCCGAGACATCGAGGCCAGAGAGGAGGTAAGGAACCCACGGTCCCCCTCCTTTCCCATCAGAGACCCTCTCAGTGTGACCCGTCCCTGAAACCAGTGAAAAGCTGAGGGACAGCTTCTCATTGTCCTCCTTCCAGGCAGAAACCATGTGACCTCAACCCTGCAACCAACTAAACCCATTGTTACTTCTAGATTACAGATAGGCCAACTTTTTTTTAAAAGCACCATCTTCCTGGATGCTGACAGTCCCTACTATATTCGTGTGTGTGTGGGACAGCGTGTGTGTTTTGCACACATGACAGTTCAGTGACCTCTCACATTTCTGCAGCTGGTTGTCATCCTCCCCTGGGACGAGAGTCAGTGGCTTACTAACGCCTGAGGCCACTGAGCACATTTTGATGGCGACCCGTTTTTACCCTTTCATTAAGAAAGCAAACAAGCTTTTGGGTGTCATCGGGCCCTCATAAATTTACCAGCGTATCTGTGCACTTGTTCAAGCAGAGGTGGGACGGGACACAACCCCCTGCGGTGCATTGGCCTTGACCCTTGCAGTTCTGCGGACTGTCAGGCCAGCCTCTTTGATGAGCAACTTTCTCAGAAGTCCAAGGTCTGCAGATGGGCTGCCCACCTGAACCTGCACAGGGTTTGCACGGTCACTACCCCGAATTCTGGGTTATGTATGCTTATGCTTCATAGAACCCAGTTTCCTTCTGCCTTCCAATGTACTGAAGTGGATATTTATTGCAAGGGAAACAGTATCATAAGATTTTATTGCATTTAGGCGGCACTCAGCCAATAAAGCCTAAACTCAGAGGTGCCATATTTTATGTAGACAAGGGTTTGGCTGTGATAAGACTGCCTCCAAACCGATTTTCAACGGGATAAGCTGTCGCTTATACAGCTGCTTACTGAATTTCCGCCTTTGGGACTGGGTACGTGGGCTATCTGTCAACAGTCTGGGGAACTGAGGTTTTTGTTCTGGGCCATACGTGAAGCGGTTCGGGGCAGGTAAGAAAGGGGACTGCTACCCACTTCCGGCACGTTGGTTTCGGAGCTGAGAGGTGGTGCTGCTGTGGGTGATCGTGATTACGATGTGATGAGGATGATGGCGTTGTTTCGGGAAATGCTATAAAAGCACAGGTTACTTGATAAGCAAACAGAAAACTTACTAGACATGATTGGAATTTTCAGAAACAGCAAAGAAATTTTCTGACGCCTAGTTTTCTAGGCGTGGCTGCCAGCCACCCTCCCCAGTCGGTTTTTCATTTAGTTGCAAACTCGCCTTGTCTTCTGGTGCTTGTTTCACTTCTTCACGCCCTTCTCTTTCCCCCTCTGGAGCGCCTGGCGAACCCTTCCTCTCGCCTGACACAAACTGGTTCTGCCCGGCGCCACGCTCTGCAGCCGCCACTGTTTCCCCCCGCGGTTCTTGTCAAAGCACCTTCTCGACAAAGAGAGGGCTCCCCCCGAGCCCTTCGTAGACCAGCTGGTTCAGGGGATGTTTCCCATACCACCGTGTGTCTCGGTGCATGACGCCGTCTCCGCGCCTGGTGCCCGCCGTCTCTGCCTGAGGGTTCCCTTCAAGCCCTCTCAGACACGTCTCTTCCAAAAAGCTTTTCCCAGTTGCCCGAGTTAAAGAGAGCCCTTTCCCTCTGACGTCTGGGGGTTGTTACTATTTCTTGGCACTCATTCTGGCCCTTTCCATGACATCTCTGTTCAGCCACAAGCTTCATGGGGACAGGTAGTGGGTGTCTCACTTCTGTGTGTCCTTTCATACTGAGCACTGCGCCTTGTCCCCAGGAGTCATCAGGCACCCCTTGATGACTTGACTCTCTGTTCCACAGAGTGTACCAGAGACACCAGCAGCGCCTCTCGTTGGGGGCAGTGTCGGCCTTCCTTCCGGTGGAGCACCTGTTGATGGTGTGGGTCTGTTGCCCCATTGGATTGGGGTCCCCCGCTCAGTCCGTGCCGTAGCCACCCCCAACACCTAAAACCCATCCTGCACGTTTCTAACTGCTCCCTTGGGGCAGAGGTAGGGGAAAAGGAGAACCATGAGAAAAGGCATTAGGAGATTGATTAAGAGGCGTACTTCCTTCTTGTTGTGCAAATATTTCCTTTAGTTAAGTTGGCTGAGGAAGTAAATTTGGTGTATTTGAGTCAAGCCTGCAGTGTGGTGCACCCTGGCATTGCGGCGTTGTTTCGGAAACGCAGCAGCGTAGCTCACTGGTACAGACTGCAGGGTGCGTGGAGAAGTGCTGGACCCAGTAAGGCAGGCAGAACATGAGCTGGGAGGCCCTTGGGGGCCCTTGTCCCACAGGCAGCAAGAAACCCCCAGAAATCTGCCTGTGGAGGAGGACGTGGTCGGATTTGGGCTTTAAGATGATCTCTCCCAAAGCCACCTAGAAGATAAAGGGAGACTGCAGGCGGTGGGGGTGGGGGGGCACTTAGCTGCCTGCCCCACAGTCCTGGTGCTGGCCCCAAGCAGCCCCAGATGGCGAGGGAGGCCATGAGAGTCTGTCCATTGGGCTCAAACGAATACCTGGGCTCCTGCTGCCCACCCGCTGCCCGGCACAGTCGTGCGTGAGTTTTGGCCCTTGTGATGCAGTGTTGGGTGAGTCGAGCGTGTTTCTCTGGTGTGGCGTGTCTCAGATTAGTTGTCCTCACACCGGGCACATTGTCATCGCCCAACAACTGCTGCCAGTTGATTGGATCTGGCAGCAGGGGCCGCCGCCGAAGGGCCGCTGGGCTGGACTGAGAAGTAGTGTCCTAGAGTTAGCCCAGGAGGGAGGACGGATCGGCTCCCTTTCCATCTCGCTGCATGGAAGGAACCGAGGACGGGAGACCCTGACGAAAGAGGAAAGGTGTGGATACCGCCCCAAACTTATTAAGGGGCTGTTTTTGAAAGTGGGCTCAGAAGTGGGTTGTTTGGAATTTGGGACACAGTGTTCTCTGTGAATAGGAGGCGCTTGCCTGACAGGCCTTCGCACCCTGGAGGCAGCCCTGGCCTCAGAGCACGAAGCAAGAGAAAAAGATTTAGGGAATTAGCAAGCGGTCGTGGTCTGGGTGGAGGGAGCCCAGTTGTCACAGACGCTGCTTAGCATGGGCTCGAGTGTTTTAGGTGCCACAGCGCTGGGGCGGCTCCTGAAGAAGCGGCCCCCCATGCCTCCCCCCGCCACCCCAGCCCCCAGAAGCACGGGCAGCAGCTGTGTCACTGTAAGAAGAGTAGCAGGCTCGAGTCAGAGATGTGGGCGCTAACCCCGGGTGTGTCCAAGCCCGTTGCTGGCCTGCCCTGTCCTGTGCTGCCTTGCCTGTCCAGGTGGGCGCCTGGCCCCTCGCAGAGGCTCAGCAACGCCCCGTCTGCATTTCCGAAGGGCAGGAACCCTTGCTTCTGCGTGTGGAGCAGCCTGTTATAGGTGCTGAATGCGCGAGAAGCTAGGGAGAGCCAGCCAGCCAGATGAGGCCGTGGAGGACCTGACAGCTCTGGCCGGCCAGGCCACGTCTGCTTCCCCGCCGGCTGCCGTGGGAGGCCCTCCGAAGCTGTGTTCACTGTCCGAGAGGATGGCCGTCCTGCCAGGCCACGCGCTCAGACGCGCACCATCGTGCGTCGTGGCCCTGAGGTGCCTTCCCCCCACCTGGGAAGAACCACACGTGGAGTTTGTTGCCCTGGGGAGTTGCTGTCGTCTCCCGCAGTGGCTAATCCCACCCTCCTGCTCGCCTGCAGTACCCCCATCTCCCCCCGCCACGTAGGCCCCATAATTACGTTCCCCATGTAAAAGCACATAAGGAATTAATTTATGCCATATGTCACGAGCTGATGTACGTTGCAGAACAGGGAAAACTAGGGCAGGGTGAGGGAGTTAGGAGGCCCGGGGTGGGGCGGGAACTGGGCGGTTATTTTAAATGGGGTGGTCAGGTTAGACCGCAGTGAGAAAGGGAGAGGTGGCTGAAACTCAGAGACGAGGGAGACCCCCATGGTAGAAGGTGGGGCGGTGGGCATAGGCCCGGCTGGCACACGGGCCTCGGGGTGGCGCGTGAGGACAGGCGGAGGCCAGGGGGCTGGAGCGGGGAGGGGAGAGGGGCTCAGAGCTGGAACAAGCTGGACTTTGAGAGGCTTCTGCTCCCCTCACTACCTGTTAGGAAGGACAGGTTCCCCCTCAATTCGTTGCAGTCTAATGTTCTTGTAAAGTTTGATGAAAATGAATTACTGAAAAAATGAAATTTTAAAAAACACAGAACATAAAAGCCTCATGTTTTATTATGAGAAGCACAGAAAGTTTCTCCTACCCAATTGCTGGACAGAGTTTGTAAATGTTCACTTGGCATTTCTTTACTCATGCCACGGTAGACTCGTGACGTCACGGACCTGCAGTTGGCCGGGAAGCACTGTTGAGCTTTGGGGTTTCATTGAGGGGATTGGCCTCGAAGCAGAGGGGGAGCCGTTGGAGCGCTTGAGCAGAGGAAAGATGTGCCCCAACTTCGGTTTTCAGAGCAGCCCTCGGAAGATGGGGTGCAGGGACCCGGGGAGAAGCAGGGAGACCCGCGGTGAGACTTGCGTTTCACGGGCAGCGAGCCGGTGGTGGCGGCTCCGCCCAGGCCGGTAGCGTTGGAAAGGGCAGGAGTGGTTGGTCCCGGAAGTATTTTTAGGTTGAGCCCCCAGAATTCCCTGGTGGATTGGATGGAGGATGAAGATGAATTGCTGTCCCCTGAGACTGGCAGGCTCCAACTGAGATGCAGCAGGCTGGGGGGAAATCAGGAGTTCGATTTTGTGTGTTTTTGAATCAGACTTTCAGCACCTAGGGGACCTAGTCACATGAGAAATGTGGGATCACCATGATGTCAGCTGAAGACCGGTACCTTGGAGTGGGCTCTTGGGGCTCGAGGGACCCTGAGATGTCCCTGAAGTGCACCTTCTCACCTATGACCTCTCACCATCCAAGCCAGATACCGTGGTTACTGTACTTGAAAGGGTCCAAGGAAGTCATTGAAGAGCTTCCATCAGTAATTGCATCCTGACGTTAAATTCTCCCTATTTGGGAATTTTTCCACTTTGTTTTTCCATCTGGTCACAAGTAAGACAACAGTCTGCTAATTGCAAAGAGACCAGATCTGGTTGACCGTGAACCCCACGAGGCGGCTCTAGAACTGATTAGCATGTAGGAGCAGCCTGGCCATGTCACCTGCCGCCCATCGGGTCACTGAGATCATGTTGGCATCTCTGATTACCAGTGATGAAGGAATTCAATGACACCTAAGTAATACTGAGCGTATAACAGCTTTTGACACTTCAGTGTCCAGTGAATAAAAAAAGTAAGGTGTAAAGTGTCTTGAATTCATGAGCCCAGTTGTTTAAAATAAATACATGTGCTCACCATGCAACGGGTTGGAAAGTATTGCAAGAAAAATTTTACGTGTGATTCTTCAGCTGGAGACACTATGAGTAGTATCTTCTCATTGTCACTTTTGGGTGTGTGATAAAAGTAGGTTTTACTTGAATAATTAGCAATAATAAGTACTTGTTAAAGACAGTGACCACAACAGCCCTGCGGCCCCTTTTCTCTCTGGCCTCCACAGCTCACCATCTGCTACCTGGACCTGCTGATGACCAGCGAGGAGCGCCGGAAGCATCTGAGGGCTCAGTACTGCTTTGACTGCGGCTGTGGCCGATGCCAGACCCGGGACAAGGTGAGTTGTGGGGAACCAGCTTGAAAGTAACTTTCCGGTGGTCTTTCTGAGAACTCCGCTTTTATGTCATTGATCCAAAAGTACATGACCCTCGGCGCGTAGTAGGTAGCAGAAGTAAATGAAACAATGCATAGTGCTGCATTTATTTTATTTACTAGAACTTTCATCACCGACCAAGCAATGAGAGGTTTGATCTCAGGGGAGGATCCATGGAGCTTAGCGTCTGGAGGGAATGTGGGCATTCAACGTGTGTCACACCTTTGTATTCCAGCAGGGGGCAAAGGGAAGCCCCCCGAGGGATTTCCACCTGCATCTCACTGTTCAGCACCGGCTCCCACGGTGACTCCTAGCTGTGAGAGAGGGGAGGAGAGTGCGTGTTCCTCTCGCCCGTTGTGCGAGAGGAAGACAGGGCAGGACAAGGTGGTGAGTGGCTTTCGGTCGGCCGGTCTGCAGCATCTCCAAGTCCCCCGAGACCATCTCTTTCCCCTTTGAGCTCACAGTCTGTTTGACGTTCTGTTAGGACGCCACAGAGGAAGAGAGCTAACAGGGGTGTGTGTGTGTGGGGGGGGGGGTGTTTGCAGCCCTGTTGACTCACTGTGTATAGTGTGCGCGCGCGCGCGTGTGTGTGTATATGTAATACGTTCAGCCATAAAAAACAAGGGCAGCCTGCCGTTTGCCACGACGTGGGTGGACCTCAAGGGCATTATGCTAAGTGAAGTGAGTCGGAGAGAGACAAATGCGGTACGTGGTGCGGGAGACTCGGGCGGGGCGGCCTTAAGGTCCCCTCCAGCGCGGTGATCTCATGCTTCTCTGAAATGGATCCTGGAAGAAGTGAGCAGCTTGTGCATTTTGATGAGAATGTAAACCTGGTTTCAATGAGTTCATCAGTTATGTTCTCAGGGCTCTATTTATATGACAGTTTTATTCTGTTTAGCGATATAACTATCCCTTCTGATATCTCTACGCTATTGATTTGCTTTGGAAAAAAAATAAGTAAATTCAGCTTAGTGCATTCCCAAAAAGATCATATATTCCAACTTAGTTCAGTCAAAAATAAATTTACTTCAGTTCCTGCATTTTGAGTTCTCAGGCTTATTTTTTTTGCTTTTCTTGGAACCTAGAAGCTCCACCTTAATAGGCTCCTACGTCACACACTATTGATTATGTGCCCATGTGGCCAGTCCCTGGGCACGGGGTCACGTTTCACTTTTACTAGTGGGCATCATTTGCATGTGTGGAATTAGTTGTCATTTGTAATCAGCAGCAGCTTAATTTGGGGAAGAAATAAAATTTTTCTTCTAAGGAGGTTTTGGAATGATTCGGCTGCCTGCCGTGGCCTGCCCAGGTCAGAATCCAAGGCAGTGGAAGCAGAACAGACCACACGGAATCGACTGTTTCTGTAAGTTGTGGGCAGGACCTAGCACGCTGCCTCAGGTGTCCCACATTTTGCTGTTTTTTAAAAAAGAAAAGGCATGTTTACTTGCCGTGGCATTTTTTCTTTTCTAAAGCCTGTTACATTGGATCCTTCTTGTAAGATAGTGTCCACCGGTGCACTCACAGCTCTGTCGCCGCACTCCCAGGTGGAAATAGCCCCTAGTCGGTCGCCTGGCCTTCAGTTTCTGCCGTTTCCCACATCTTGCACACTGTTTTTTAGTGTTTTCTTAAGTACACTGTTTCTGCGGCAGAAGTTTGAAAGTGTTTGGCATTATCTTCAGTCTCCAGGATGAACTTCACGCTCTTTCCTTGGCAGTCAGTGTCTTGCGAAGTGATCACCCATGATCTAACTGTTCAGTACCTTTGTTTCTGTTCTCTTTTGTTGTTTTTCTTTTCTCCTCTTCACTTGTCTCTTATTTTTCAGTGTGTTTTACCTAATTATACCCTTTTCCCCACCCAAAAGATACTGGGGCGGCTATGGCCACACCTGCGCATGCATTCTCACGTATGCACGGGGTGGTCAGAAGGAGGTTTGCAGCCGTCCATATGGGAAAAAGACATTACCTAAAAGTTAAATTGTAAGTGAGGGTACAAAGTAATGACAACAATAATAATAAGACAAATACTACAAATCAGTAATGCAGTAGTTAAATAAAAAAAGAAAAACCTTTCGCATACTCACTGTAAACCTACTTTTGCCACACCCACATAATACAACAGCAATACATTTTATAATGATTTGTGAAATGAGAGTGCCAAGAAATACGATGAAAGCAGGTTAGTACCCAGAATGCATGCCACGTGCCTTTATGTACAAGAAGGGAAGAAAACATATGCTCTAAATTTCCCAGCAGCCCAAGCTGCAGGACTCACGTCAAAGTCTGTGTGTGTGGTTGGCCGGCAGAGCGCAGCTGGTCCTGCGCCGAGGCCCAGGCCCTCACCCGGGACCCGCCGAGACAGCCCGGCCAGCATTCCTGTCAGCTCCGCAGCAGTTCACGTAGCTGATTTTTATAACTTTTATAATCCTTCAATATGGCTGCTTGACATATTTTCAAATTATAACTTTACGAAAGAAGTAATTAAAAGGGTAAAAATATGTAATCAAGATTCTTATCACTCTGATGGTTTGCTTTGTTGTAAGTGACCAGAGTGGAGGGGGGAGGGAATTTCAGGGGAAAAGGGGAAGGGTTTACAGGAACAAGGATAAAGGACACATGGACAAAAACTAGGGGGGGTGGAAATGGGAGAGATTAAAATAAAACTAAATTAAAAAAAAAGAATAAAACCTAGACTACACAGAAGAAAGTGAGGACTGCCTGTCCTTTGTTATCTGTCACTCATGTTATTTCCCGCAGTCTTTACATTTTTTACTATAATTTTTGTGAAGGAGGTCCATGTCTACAGTTTGAAAAGTCGAAGGTCTGGAACCCAGTGGAAAACTAATGAGCACACGTCCCTTCTGCTTCTGCCCGCGTCCCGCTCCCCCGTCCGGCTCCACGTTTATTCCGTGTTTCCCACAAACCGACCCCCTGAAATCGTGCCCTAGGGAAGACTTTTGCTATGGCGTCAGTTTCGTGAGTATTTTTTTATTTCCTGGATTTCCAGTTCGCTTTTCCCCCACGTCTCTGAGCTTATGTTTTATTTCTGCCCATTTCTGGTTCATAGCATCGTCTTCACTGCGAACGCATGCCTCTCGGTGGTGTGTGCATTTTTCCAGCATCCTAACTTCGCTCGTTTTAAGTCTCGGTCCGTCCGTTTGTGTGACCGGATCAAGGTCATGTTCCGATAGTCGATTTTTTTGGTTATCTTCCTTCGCATTGCGTTTCGCTTACATGTTTTAGACTTTGGAAGAGCAGGCTCATTTTTTTTAGCACATTTTGGTTTTGTTTCTTTCCCCCTCAGTGTGCTCCACCAGGCCCCTCAGCCCCCAGTTCCGAAACGGCCTCTGGAGCTGTTGCATTGCGGTGATGTGGAGGCTGTTTCAGAGCCCGTGACGTAGGCAACGGGTGTCTTGGCCCCGGCTCTGTCTTCTAGCCTTTCCAGGACCCCAGCTCCCTAGTAACCTTTAGCCCAAGGGAACAGGCCATGAGCCCTTTATCTTTAGCTTTTTAAAGAATAAGAGGGAGCCTCACCTTCCTCCAGCTTTAAGTTGTAAAGCCGACTCTACTCACCTCTCTCGTGTGGAGCATTTTTATTCCCTTCCAGTTGCTGAAGCCGAGTTTTGTGCCTGCTTCCAGACCTGAGGCCCTCGTTCCACTCTGCATTTCTGTTCTATTTTTGGTCCAGGGAGATGTTTATCCTGGTTTTTGACCTCGTAAAGCTATTTTTGGTTTCTCCTTTAATCTTTTACTTACCATTGCTCCGGGTTTGGAGTGGAGGGGAGCACCTCAACGTCTGAACTGGCAGCGTCCTGACTGGAAGTCTGCAGTGTGCTTGCCGAGCGCACAGGTAAGAATGCAGGCCTTTGGAGGCCAAGGAAAATGTGAGCACAGACAGTGATCTCATCCTCCCAGCACTTGCAGGCACGCGTGCCCCTTCTTCCCAGGACCTGCCTGTCGCTGGCGCAGGGACGTGCATCTTCTGTTATCACAGGGCCTTCTAAGGAGACAGTTGTGTGGAGTCACTGAGAGCACGGTTTCATGAGTGGCGGTGCAGGGGTGGGGGAGGGGGGAAGCCCTAACCAGCTTCTCAGTCCCTGGTGCTCCAGTTCTGAGTCCACTTCGTTCTCTCTGCTGCTGCTGAAACAAAGCAGTCAGTTATTGTCTTTGTAATTATTTCAGTTGCTTTTCCGAGATCCTCTTTTGTAACACGGAATTCCCTTTCTTGGATCCCTCCTGAGACCCTCCACAGCACCTGTGAGCCAGGGAGCCTGGAGGCAGCCCCACGCCCGGCAGAGAAGGGACTGGGGCCAGCGCCGTGTGAGAACCGCCTCAGCCCCTGCACGTGCTGCGCCTCCGGTCAGGCTGGTCCTGCTCGGCCGTGCACTGGGGGCGCAGGAGGCAGGACTCAGCTGAAGGAAAAAATAATGATTGTCTGAAGAAGAAATAAAAGAACATTTGAGTTAAAGCTGCAGTCAAAGGCATGAGCATTCTCTGCCCAGGAAAAAGTTTTTATGGTAACTTGAGTCTATTTGACTCAATACGAGCAATTCCGTAAAGGTCATTAGTAAACCAAGATTTTTTCCCTGCCTCCTTCCTCTGTTTCGTTAAATTAATTGTAAGCAGAGATGCCTCGCAGTGGGATGGTGAGCCCAGCCAGCTCTGAACTGTTCTACATGTCAGGTTGGAATGATCTTGCAGAATGCGTTTCCTGTTTCTGGAGGTTTCATCATAACCGAATCACCTTATCTTCAGGAAGATTAGGGAGATTTGGCAGGGGATGGAAAAAGTGTGTGTGTGTGCGTGTCCATGCATGTGTGTGCATGCACGCGTGTGTGTGAGATGAGTTTTCAGGCAGTCGAAAGCGAACATGGCTGCGTGTTACCTGTGTCTTGCTTCTCCAAACAACCAGGAGGATGGTTTCCCTGGAGAGAAGGCAGCGCTGGCTGTCATGAGTGTTGAAGTGAG